GTCGCCGCCGCTCTCCGTCCCCACCTCCGATGCTCCGCCTCTCGTGGTTCCGTCCTTATCAACCCCATAACGACGCCATCAATTCCAATCTCTGGCGCTAAGATCCAGCTCCCTCCGGTGCCAATCAATTCCAATACTTTCTGATGTGCAAGGAAACTAGATGCAAGTACAGGCGTGCTTATTCGGTGGGATTTGATAAGGAGCCATTGCTTATTAAGGAGATTTTTGAGTACGACAAGAATAACTGCAGAGAAACTACTAGGCTTGAGCTGTTTAGAGCGGATCTCTGGCTGAAAGATGTGGGTGAAGGTGGAGAGCATCGGTGATCGAGTGCTTGTGATTTCTGAGGGTTGGTCTGTTTCATTGTTGGCAGCTAGAGGAAACCGTATTTACTTTCCTTCAGAGTCATGCTACTTGTTGGAGGGTGTTTGATTTAGGTAGTACATCGGTGATGACAGACATGCCATTTCCGAGGTAATACCTTGCGGATTGAGTATTGTTTTGAGGAACTATTCATGCCCCGCTGATGTTAGTCTTTGGATTCGAGGTGCACGTCCTTTCCTGTTGGTTAAAGCTTACGTTCTTTAAATTCAAAGTTATATAAATTATATGCGCATTTAACACAAATTTTCAGCTTATGTTAGTCATTGGATGCAGTGTTGCTTAGTGCCATCCTGGTTTCAGTTTTAATTGTTATTCTTTTTAGTTGGTGAGCTAGTCAAGGTGAAGATACGTAGTTGCCACAACAGTCATGGTTAAAAGTAGAATAAGCGCGATGCTGTTTCAAATGCTGTCACGCATTTCTAGATTGAACCAGCTCATGCTTCATTTTTTGTGGTTGTAGCTACTGCAATTATGTGATGCCTATTATGTTCATGTTTCAGTTGCTTATTCAAATCACTTTTATTTGACACCTAAATGATCTCCTAGATTGAGCATCTGAAAACTTCACACAATTTATTGAGCATTAAGAATATGCTAGTTTTTATTGTACCCTAGTTATACCTGTAAATGATATCAATACACCAAGCATTTACTAAGAATGTTGTTTGGTGACATCCAACATGGTGTTTGCCATAAATAAATCCAAACTATTCCTGCAAATAATGTTAAATCATCAAAATCACATATATATGAATATATATGTACGTGTATGTGTGTGTATATATGTATGTGTGTATGTGTGCGCGTGTGCGTACATGCGTGCGTACGTACGTACATACGTAAGTATGTTTGTATGTATGTGTGTATGCATGCGTGCATGTACATAGGTATTTACATATGTATGTATGTATGTATGTATGTGTGTATGCGTGCATGCATGCATGTATGTATATGTTCATGTATGTGTGTGTGCGTGTGTATGTATGCGTGCGTGGGTGTGTGCATGTGTTTATGTGTATGCGCGTGCGCACACACACATACTTATGTATGTATACACATTACACACATACATATATAATTTGATGCTATAATACATATGGTGATAAGATCTCTCTATGATTTTCTTTTCGAGACCCTCATTTTACTCCTTTAAGTGGAATCTGATATTGTAATGGTGTATAATGATTGATTACTCTAACTAAATTGGCTTAGAGAAAGATCCTTAAGAATGTTATTTTGCTTATGGTCAGTTACATTTCATTGTTCTTTTGCTTCATGTTGATCAATTCTATTTGCTTGTTTTGCATGCCATTATGGTGCTAATATTTAGAATGTTAATTCTTATTTTTTTGTGTCTTTCATTACTTGGCATTGTCTTTTAGGGTAGACTACATTGCATGTCCTAATTCTTGGTGGGATCTTTGAGATAGATCTTGCTGTAAATATGGACATAAAGCGATTGATGGGTTTTAGGTTGGCCTTTTGTGAGTGTCTAAGGCCAACAAAGGACCATCTTACACGATCGTATATATCATGTGTATCCGTCAAGATATTGAAAATTTTAATACTTTATATGATGATTAAGCTACTCACTAGTGATGGCCAACATAGTTATCTTGTTATAATGGTGTTTTTGGACATTGTTTTCTTAGCTTTGATTCTCCGATACAGAAAGTTCAATGAAAGTCTCTTCTTCAGTCTTAAGTATTACTAGTCTATTTCAGTCATCTTTCCAAGCATTCGAGTTCATTCCTTTTTGAAAAGCGCTTCTCTTTTAAACTATAATTGGATTCACTATATTTTTCTTTATTGTAGCCACCTATTGTACATAATAGATTTTAGGATTGCTCACTTAGGGTATCCTTTTTCTCTTTCAATTAAAAAACAATTTTGGTATTTTTGTCTACTTGTCATTGGATCATGACGAACGAAAGCGAGCAAATATCGTAGGTTATAGCCCATAAAATCGTGAATTTTGAATATGCTTAGTTAATTGCTATTGTATCGAAATGAACAAAATGGACTAAAATTGTGGGTTGTAACGATGGAAATTAACAAAAATCATAAAGTTTGAAGTACACATACTTGTCATTGGATCCAAAAAGTCATGGGGCCCATAATATTGCAAAGTTTGACAAATTTTGACATGCACATACTTATTTGTCATTGGGTTGAATATCGATAATTGACTAAAGTCGTGGGTTAGCCCACAAAAATCACAATTTTTTATGAAAGAAAATTTAATTGTCATTGGGTCGATGCTAACAAAAATAGACTAAAATCATGGGTTTTAAACCCATGAAAATTGCGAATTTTTATGTACGCGTGATTAATTGCCATTAGGTTAAAATGGACGAAAATGAGAAGATATCATCAAGTGTTTTAAATGTCGGTCGACATGTCAGATATGTCGGCCGACATATCGGATTGAGGGCTCGAGCGACACAAGTCGGGCATTTTTAAGTCGTATGTCGGTTTTCAGGAGAGTCGGATATGTCAGCGCCATATCGGGCATATCGGCTGATTTTTCAGCTTTGAAAAATCGGTTGATATGCCCTTTTTTTGGTTTAAGGCTATTTTTTCTTATTAGGTTTGGTTTAGTGATGAAAACTCAAACCCACTTGACCCGTTCTGATGTTAAGGGTCTCTTTACGAATTCGATAGAAAGAAACAACAAAAAAAGCTAGGGCTGCAGCCGTCTTCATCTTCTTCATCTCTCGCTCTCTTGCTTTCGTTCTCCTCACATCATTGACGCTGCCTTCTCGCGGCATCGAAATCCACCCATCGCCGTCTTCTCTCTCTTCCCTACGCCATCAGAAGCTAAAGTTCCAGCTTTCCTCAGCTTCAGCCGCCTATTTATGTGAGTCCCTGACTTTTCTTTATCTCATTCTCTCTCTCCCCTAGCATGTTTTAGTTTTATGACAAGTATAGGTTCATAGGGTATATTTGAGAATAACACGAAGTTGATGGTAGTTCAGTACTTCAGTAACGTTATTTGAAATTTTTTGGTAGTTTTGTACAACATTAATAAAATTCTTGATATTTATTCCATGGTCCGATTTGAAATTTGTGATAATTTTTTAACAAAGTTTAGAGTTTTCGTAAAATCCTTGGAGTTCATGATTGTTTAGTGAAATTTACTCGGCATGCGTACAAGGAATTTGACAGAAAAATTTAACCAATTTACTATCTCAGACTGTTAACTGATACCAAAGGAACAGATGCTTGAACTGCAAACTCATGCACTGTGTAACAGCTATATTTCATATCAACAAATAAATCACATTATGCACAATAAACATCATGCTACTAGCCTACTACTAATAAACTTGAAAGAAAACTAATTACTTTTTAGTGTAATTGATTTGAATATGCAATTGATTTAAATATGTAAATATAATTGGTTATCTAAATCCATATTTGTTGTCTTGTTAATTATTGTAGAATCATGTCGTCCGAAGGACAAGGATCTACTAGATCGTCAACACCACCAAAAACGGGCGGTAAAGATCCATGTTAGCTATATGGGGAGAGAGTTGGTTCCGATACAAAGTTAACTTCAAATATTGCACTCAAATTTTCAATGGTGGGATTAGCCGATTTAAAGAACACCTAGTCGGAAAGAGGGGAAATTGCGCGCCGTGTGTGAAAGTTCCCGATGATGTTAAGGTAAAAGTTTTCGAAATTATAGATAGTGCCAAGAAGAGTAAGGATGAGAAGGAGATGAAAATGCATAACTTGTTGAGTGAGGTGCATATTGGGGAGGGTGAGAAGGAGCATAACTCAATCTCATTGAGTAGTTAAAGAAGCTCGTCATCCTACTACAAGGTAATTGGACCAATAGACTCCTTGGCCGCTCGTTCTCCCGAGACGATTGCCCAAATAGTAGCAAAGGGGAAACAATTGACGGTGGACTCCAAGTTTAAAAAGAAGAAAAGGGAGGATGTAATGCAATACATCCCCAAATGGTTCTATGAAGCTGGTATTCCAATTCATACCGCCACACTTCTCTTTTCATCAAATTTTACAAGCTATTGGTTTGTTTGGAAGTCATTTACAAGCTCCATCGATGTATGAACTGAGTGAGACATATTTGCAAAAAGAAGTGGCAAAAGAAATTGTTGAAAACTTTAAAAGGACTTGTGTTGTCAATGGTTGCTCGTTAATGACCGATGCATGGAGTGATCAGAAGTCTAGAAGCATCATGAACATAGTTGTACATTCTACTGGAAGAGCTTGTTTTTTGTCTTCACATGATGCATTGGCCGATAAGCACGATGCCCAGTATATCTGTGACTTTATAGACAAGGCTATTGAATAGATACGGAGGCAAATGTGGTGCAGATAGTCACTGATGCAACTTCAAACAATATGATGGCTTCTAAGTTGTTGGTCGAGAAGAGGCCAAATATATTTTGGACGACTTGTACTGCACATACAGTGAACTTGATGTTGTTTGATATAGCTAAGATAAAACTCATTCGTAATGTTATTTTAATGAGGATGAGTGTATCAATGTTCTTATATAATCACACCAAGCCTCTTCAATTATTTAGGGAGTTCACTAAGGGTGATCTTGTGAGATCAGGGGTTACGAGGTTTGCTACGACGTTCCTTTCTCTACAGTCATTAAGAGATCATAAGAAAGAGATGAGGCGGGGTTACGAGGTTTGCTACGACGTTCCTTTCTCTACAGTCATTAAGAGATCATAAGAAAGAGATGAGGCAAATGTTTATCTCTGACCAATGTACAGTCATTAAGAGATCATAAGAAAGAGATGAGGCAAATGTTTATCTCTGACCAATGGACAGATTGTAACCTTTCAAGAACATCGGTGGGCAAAAAGGTATACTTTAATTGTATTCATTTTATTCATTTGATCATTTATATTTCATTGATTGGATTTTTTTATAAGTTTTAGGTTGCGGAGATAATTGCTAGCAACAAGTTTTGGGATAATATAGACTTTGCCCTCAAAGTATTCACTCGCGGAGATAATTGCTAGCAACAAGTTTTGGGATAATATAGACTTTGCCCTCAAAGTATTCACTCCTCTAGTGAAGGTTCTTCGAAGAGCGGAAGTTTTGGGATAATATAGACTTTGCCCTCAAAGTATTCACTCCTCTAGTGAAGGTTCTTCGAAGAGCGGATGGTGATAAAATCGGTTCGATGGGATTTATATACGGGGACATGTTGGTGGCTATGGAGGAGTTGAAAGTGGCCATTGGGGATGATGAGAAGAAGTACAATCACATATTGAAAATGATTGAGCCGAGATTTGAGAAGAATTTTAGTGAAACGCTACATAAAGCGAGCTACTTTTTGAATCCTTTACTATTACCCGGCTTACACAGACATTGAAGGTGATGGAAGCTTCATGAAAGCCATAGTTGAGTGTATGCATAGACTCTATCCCGTTGACCATGCGACTTTCACAAAGATTGGAGATCAAATATCTAATTATCAAGAACGTCTAGGGTCATTTGGGGATCAATTTGCGAGGCGAGGAGCTACTAAGGGTGATTGTCCGAGTAAATTTATGTTCTCATTCAAATTAATTCATTGACCTCTTTTTGAATTTATAAGTTACTAAATTTTTTCAATTATGAATTGACTAGTTATTTGGTGGAGGCTTTATGGAAACGATACTCCCGATTTAAGGAAGATGTCAATGAAGATTTTGGGCTTGACAACTAGCTCATCGGCTTGTGAAAAAAATTGGAGTACATTTGAGATAGTAATATTATTTCTTAAATTTTAATCGTCTTGTAGGCTTGTATTGTAGTATTTGATGATTAGTTTTTTATGCTAATTCATGATTTTATTTTTTAGATTCATACGAAGAAGAGGAATAGGCTAACTCATAAAAAACTTCATGACTTAGTCTTTGTCAAGTTTAATGCAAAGTTGAAGAATACGCATGCCGTTATAGATAAAGATCCTTTAACCGCCTACGATGATGAGGAAAGGGTCTCCGAATGATGGTTGTGTGAGGAGGGGAATAATAGTAGTGATGAAGTATTCCTGGGAGTGTTTGACTTTTAGGCAAGTTGGAGATATTTCGGGAGTTAATCCAAGGAAGAGAAAGAGTGGAAGGTTGCAAATGTATAAAAGAAAGAAGAAGTCGGGATCATCTTCATCGAAAGGAAAGGAGCCGATGGAAGATGATGAGGAAGAAGAGATGGATGTGTTATTCACGGATTCGAATGAGGATGATGATCTTACTTTTGATCACGATGAAGATTGATTCTAGACTTCTAGTTATCTTAGCTTTTATGTTATTATGGATTTGCTCTTGAATGTTAAACAATTATAAACTATTTGTTGCTTTAAAAACTTGTTTGTTATGATTTGCTTATGTTTGATATGAATCATATGAGTTGCAATCTTCATTCTATATGTTATATCTTATATGTTACTTGCTTTATTCTTTATATGCTATTCTATGTTTACTAACAATGTTTTCTTATTTTGTAGGTTAAGCACCCGAATGGTTTCAAGATGCAATCGAGAATTAAATTTCTACAATCGGTTAGTGACCCTAAACATCATATATTATTTATTTTTTTATATGTTTAGTCTAGAGAATTTATAAAGTATACTTATAATGAATTTTAAAATGCTTAGATTACATTTAGGACATGATATTATACATATGCGTACCACTAGATATGACAATTCGATAATTAGTCCATGTCCCTCGATATATCGCCGATTTTCGCTATCCAACATGGATTTCAGCCGTCTGACATGAACCCGACATCCGACATTTAAAACCTTGTTTATTACTTGGTTTTGCATTTTAGGATAAGACTCATTTTATTATTTTTGGTGGGCTAAGTAAGATTGTAAATAAGGACATATATCAATTGATTTGTTTTAGGCTGGCCTTTTATGAGTGTCTAAGGTTACAAAGGACCGTTATCCACGGCAACTTGTATATATCATGTGGATCCATCAATTATTTTAAAACTTAATTGTCATTGGTATAAATTAATGAAAATAGACTAAAATTATTAAGTTGTCACTCACGAAAAATGGCGTATTATTTGGTATGGATGATTAATTATTAGTCGAAACAAACAGAAATTAGCAAATATTGTGTTATAGCCCATCAAATCACGAAAGTTAAAATATGCTTAATTAATCGCTATTGGGCGAAGAGAAACAAACATGGACGAAAATCACAGGATTGTAGGTTATGACAAACGAAATTAACAAAAATCATGAATTTTGAAATACGAGTACTTATTTGTCATTGTGCGCAAATGAATAATATTAATAAGAATCATGGGCAATAGCCTATAATATCCGCAAATATTGAGAATCGTGAGTGATAGCCCATGAAGATCACAAATTTTAAAGTACGCATAATTAATTGCTATTGGGTCAAAATAAATGAAAATTTAGAAAAATTTATGATTTTTGTAGAAATAATCATCTGACTCGTATGAACAATAGTTGACAAAAATCATAGGTTATATAACCTATGAAAAGCACAAATATTGAAGTTCACATAGTTGCTATTGTGACGAAACAAACAAAAATGGAAAAAAGAAATCATGGGCTAACTCATAAAATGATAAATTTTTAAATAGTCATACTTATTCATTAGGTTGAAAAATGAAATTTGACAAAAGTTGTATGTTAGCCTATGAAATCTTGATTTTTTATGACAGAAAACTTAATTGCCTTTAGGTCGAGCTTAATGGAAATAAACTAAAATATTTGATTATAACCTATGAAAAACAAGAATTTTTTAGTATGAATAATTAACTGCCATTGGAATGAAATGAACGAAAATGAGCAAATATCGTGGGTTATAGCTTGTTAAATTGTGAATTATGATGCTTAGTTAATTTCCATTGGATTGAAAGGAAAAAAAATGGACAAAAATAATGAATGTTGAAGACATTCACTTATTAGTCACTCAGCTAAAACGAATGAAATCAACAAGATAAATAAATAAATATGGGTTATAGCCTATAAAAATCCTAAATTTTGAAGTACGACTACTAGTTTGTGATTGGGATGAAGAGTGAAATTAATAAAAAAATGTGGTGCCCATGAATATTACCATTTTTGTGAAAGAATTTAATTGTCATTGAGTCAAAATTAATGAAAATATACTAAAATCGTGGGTTATAACCCACATAAATCGCGAAGTTTTTGGTACGTTTGAATGATTTCTATTGTGTCAAAACAAAAAATGGAAAGAAATGGAGTGTTATAGCCAGTGAAAATCACGAATTTGTCATTGGGTCAAATGTAGAAATATTCACATGAATCACGGGTTTTTCCCATGAATATCGCGAATATTGAAGTTCACTTAATTATTCTACTGTGACAAAATGATTAAAATTAGACAAAATTCATGGAATATAACCCATGAAGATGACGATTTTTTAAGCAAGCATATACTAATTCACCATTAGGTCGAAGAAAGAAAATTGACAAATATTGTGGGTCATAGGCTATAAAAATTGTGATTTTCTATGGAAGAACTAATTGTTCTTGGGTAAATATTAAGGAAAATAAACTAAAATTGTGATTTATACCCATGAAAAATCATGAATTTTTCAGTACGCTTGATTAATTGCTTTTGGGTAAACAAACAAAATACATAAAAGTCAAGGATTATAATTAATGACGTGAATATTGAAGTACACATACTTATTTGTCACTGGATTGAAATTAACAAAAATTGGAGAAAATCATTTGTTATAGGCTATGAAATTTGCGAATTTTAAAACTCATGGATTATAGCCTATGAAAATCGTGAATTTTAAAATACGCATAGTTTGTTGTCGTTGGGTCAAAATGAATTTTGAAGTACACATACTTATTCAATGAATATCCAATGAATATCCGATGAATATCCCTAATATTAAAGTTTGCACAATTAATTTCTATTGTGACAAAATGAACGAAAAGGGGAAAATTCATAGACCATAACCCATGAAAATGATAAAATTTTAAGTAGGCATACTTATTTGCCATTAAGGGTAAAGAGCAAAAATTGACAATCGTGGATTAGAACACATGAAAATCTTGATTTTTTATATAGAAAATTTAATAGTCATTTGGTCGAATTTAACTAAAATAGGCTTAAATCATGGGTCACAACCCATGAAATCGTGAACTTTTTGGTATAAATGATTAAATTGTCATTAGGTTGAAATGAACGGAACTGAGCATATAAATCACGTAATTTGAAGTGCTCTTAGTTAATTATGATTAGATCGAAATACACAAACATGGACACAAATCACGAGATATAACAAACAAAGTCACTGAATATCTCGAATTTTGAAGACTTATACTTGTCATTGGGTCAAAACAAACAAATTTGTGTATTATCTTACAGCCTATAAAAATCTCGAATTTTGAAGTATACATACTTATTTGTTATGGGGACGAACAAAAATTCATGAAAATCGAGGTGCCCATGAAAATTGTGATACTTTATGAAAGAAATTTTTATTGTCATTGCGTCAGAACTTATGAAAATAGACTAAAAATATGGTTATAACCCATGAAAATCGTAAAACTATTTGGTATGCTTGATTAATTAACATTGGGTTAAAATGAACAAAATCATGGGTTATAATTAAGTTGTGACTTGTAGCCTATGAACTTCTTAAATTTTGAAAGTCATATATAATGAACCATGAAATTTTTTAATTTTAAAATACACATAATTAATTATGATTGGTTCAAGATGAGCAAATTCATGAAAATCATGGGTTATCACATGAATATCACAAATATTGAAGTTCACACAAGTAATTTGTTTTGTGACAGAACAAACAAAAAAGGACAGTTTATGGACAATGACCATGAAAATGACGAATTTTTACGTGGGCATGCTAATTTCATTAGATTGAAGAACGAAAATTGACAAAAGCTGTGGGTTATATATAGCCCATAAAAATCTCGAGATCTTATAAAAGAAAATTACTTGTCTTTGTGTCGAAATTAACAAAAATAGATTAAAATCATGGGCATAGCCTATGACAATCGAGAAATTTTTTTACGAAAGATTAGTTCTCATTTGAGCCAAAGGAACAAAAATGAGCAATTATTGTGGGTTATTGCTCATTAAATCGTGAATTTTGAAATATGCTTAATTTATTGCCATTAGGTCGAAAGGAACACAAAAAAAAAAAGAATTGTGGGTAATAACGAATGAAATTAACAAAAATTGTGGGTTTTCTTATAGCCCATAAAAATCTCGAATTTTAAAATAGGCATATTTATTTGTCATTAGGACAACGACAAGAATTGAGAAAAGTCGTGGTGCCCATGAAAATTGTGATACTCTATGAATTTTTTTTAATTGTCATTGGGTCAAAACTAATGAAAGTAGACTAAAATCTTGTGATATAACTTATAACCCCATGAATGTCTTGAATTTTTTTAATACACTTGATTTCTTACTATTTGGTCAAAATCATATATTGTGGTTTATGACCAATAAAAATTGTGAATTTTAATGTAAACATATATATTTGTCATCAGGTCAAAACAAACAAAAATGTGCAAATTTATGGACTATAGCCCATGAAAATGATGAAAATTTAAGTAGTCAATACTTGTCATTAGGTTGAAGAATGAAAATTGATAAAAATTGTGGGTTATAGCCCGTAAAAGATCTCTTGACGTATACATACTTTGTCATTGGGATGAAGAATGAAATTTGACAAGAATCGGGGTGCCTATGAAAACTGTGTTTTTTATGAAAGAAATTTAATTGTCATTGCGTCAAAAATAGCGAAAGTAGACTACAATCTTGGGTTATAACCCATGAAAATTGCGAAATTTTTTGTACGCTTGATTAGTTGTCATTAGGTCAAAAATAAACAAAAAAGGATAAAATTCGTAGGTTATTACTAATAAAAATCATAAATTTTGAAGTACACATATTATTAGTTATGGACTGAAACTAACGAAAATTGACAAAAATCGTAGATTACGGCATATGAAATTCATGAAATTTGAAAATCGTGAGTAATAGTTCATGAAAATCGCGCATTTAGGTGCGTGCGCCCAAGTAATTGCTATTATTTTGAAACAGACAAAAATCATGGGTTTTGGGCTACAAAAATCGTGAATTTTTAAGTTACACCCACTTATTTGTCGTTGGGTTGAAGAAAGAAAATTGACAAAATTTGTAGGTTATATCCCATCATAATTGCAAATTTGAAGGAACAAACTTCATAGACTTTGGGTCAAAGTGAACGTAAATCGACACAAATTGTGTGCTATAGCCCATGAAATTGCAAATTACTAAAAATTGTAGGTAATAGCTAACAAAATCTTGAATTTTAAAATATGCATAATTAATTGTCGTGGGGTTAAGACCGATGAAAATTTATAAAAATAATTGGTTATAGTCGATGAAAATCATGATTTTTGAAGTACGTATAATTACTTGCATTGAGATAAAATGAATAAAAATTGCTAAAATCGTGGGTTATAAAATCTTTTTTCTGAAAAATGGGTTATAAAACATTAAATTCACAAATTTTGAGGTAGTCATAATTAGTTGCCAATGAATTGAATGAACAATAATGGATAAAAAATTGAAAAGATACCCTATGAAAGTCGCAAATTTTGAGGTAGTCATAATTAGTTAATTACCATTTAAATCTACAAAAATTATGGGTATAAACAATGAAAATTATGAATTTTGAAGTACGCATACTTTTTGCTATTGGGTTGGAACGAGAGAAAATTGATAAATCATTGGTTATAGCCCATGAAATTCATAACCCTTGAAAATTGCGACTTTTGAAGTACGCATAGTTATCTTGCTATTTGTAAAAATAAAAATTGACAAAAACTATAGGTTATAACCAGTGAAAATATTGTTTTTTTATTTATCAAATACAAGTTAACTGGTATTGGACCGTAACTAATGTAAATAAACTAAAATTGTGAATATAACCCAGGAAAACGTGAATTTATGGTAACTTTGTTTAATTGTCATTTGTTTCAAATAAACAAAAATGAGCATGTATCAAAGGTTGCATACTAAATCGAAAATTTTAAAATATGCTTAGTTAATTGTCATTGGTTCGAAATGAACAAAAATGAAAAAATGACCCTGTGAGTTATAGCCCATGAAAATCGTGGCTTTTTATGAAAGTAAATGTTATTGCATTTGGATCAAAACTAATGAATATAGACTAAAATGGTGGGCCTTTTTTATAATAAAACAAAGGACAAATTTTTAAAAAAGCCTCTTTGCTGCAAAATCAACCATTTTCTTTTGAAAATGGTCGGTTTTGCTCATTAAATGTTCAAATGGTTGGTTTTGCTTAATAAATTTAAAAAAGAGGCTTTTTTAAAAATTTGTCCTAAAACAAAATAAACGGTTATAACCCATGAAAATAGCGAGGTTTTTGGTATGCATGGTTAGTTGTCATTGAGTTGAGAAAGGGACGAAAATGAGCAAATATCACGGGTTTACTAGTGAAAATTGTGAATTTTAAAGTACACACTGCACATACTTATTTGTCACTTGATCAAAATTAATGAAAAAATTATTGGTTTTAGTCCATAAAATTCGTGAATTTTGAAAACCATGAGTGATATATTCCATGAAATTCACAAAGTAGTTATAATTAACTGTCATGGGGTCCAATGAATATTAAAGGATAAAATCTTGGGTTATAGCATATGAAAATCACATGCTGAAGTTTGCACAATTAAGTGCTGTTGGGACAAAATGAACAAAAATGGACAAAAATTCTGGATTATAGTTCATGAAAATCGAGAATTTTGAAGTATGCATAGTTATTTGCTATTAGGTTGAAGAATAAAAATTGACAAAAATTATGGGTTATAACCCATAAAAATATCGATTTCTTATGAAAGAAATTGTGATTGTCATTGGGTCAAAACCAACGCAAATAGACTAAAATCATGGGGTATAAACCATGAAAATGGTGAATTTTGTGCTACGCATGAGTAAGTATCATTGGCTCGAAACATATGAAAATAAGCAAATATCGTGGGACATATAATTGTGAATTTTGAAATATACTTAGCTAATTGTGAGTGGGTCGAAACAAACAAAAACGGACAATAAAGTAAGAAATTAATAAAATTTGTGAATTTTGAAGTACACATACTTACTTGTATAGTGGGACAAAAAGAATGAAATTAACAAAAATCGTGAGTTATAGTCCATAAAAAAGTGCGCATACTTATTTGTCATTGGGTCGAAGATTTAAATCTGGCAAAAATCGTTGATAGTCCATGAAAATCGCAGTTAAATCACAGTTTTTTATGAAAGAAAATTTGTTAGGTATTTTACTTTTAAGAATAAAACCGCATTGCATGTCCTAATTCTTGGCGGGATCTGTAAAGTAGATCTTTCTATAAATATGAACATAAATCAATTAATGGGGTTTATGCTAGCCTTCTATGAGTGTCTAAGGCCAACAAAGGACCATCATACACGGATCTCTTGTATGTATCATGTGGATCCATCAATTACTTGGAAACTTTTAATACATGATATGATGATTAGACAATTCGCAAGTAATATAACTAACCTAGTTATCTTGTTTCGACCATTATTTTTTGCTATTGTTTTTTAAGCTTTGATTCTCCAGTACGGAAAGTTCAATCAGAGGCTCTCCTTCAATTCAAGTCTTCCTATTCTATTTTAGGATTACTAATTGAGGATACCCCTTTCTTTTAATTTGAAATGATTTTGCATGTGATTTACAATGTCCTAAAACATGTAGTACAACTAATGACTGGCTTTATTGTCCAACAAAATTATGAAGTAGAACAATTGTTCTTTAGGGATCTTTGGCTTGTTTTTGTTCAATTCATTGTCCTGCTTATTACAATGTCATCTCATATTTCAAATCTGTAAATGTTGCCTTATTTCTTTTCATCCTTATTTTCCCCCGTCATTTTGTCCTGTAAGTACCAGAAATGTCTAAAATATTTCAATTTGACACCTTAATTATGGATGTCTTGTAGATAAACAGTGAAGGGGTCGCAAAGAAGGAAGAGAGGGAGAGAGAGATGGAGAGAGAGAGAGAGCCCATCTGGTCCCTGTATTGAACTGGCATTCTCTTTCGGTTTGGGGTTTAACTCCATTGTTTCATGTTTAAAAAATATGCATGTGGTTCTACATCTGTATATATATTTAAAGAAATAACATTGGGAACTTTTATGGCTCAGCAAATGGGGAGAACGAGACAGGAAGTTTTTCCACATTAATTACATTGATCAGAATGTTTATTTGTGTTTGGTATATATTGTATCAATATTTATTTTATGTTTGATTATATGTATGTGTATGATATTGTTATCTGAGTTGAGTTATTATAGCATCCAAGATACATATAATATATATTCGAATTTAATAGTTGGATTGAATTCTGCATTGTTGGATGTGATACAATTCATGTGCTGTGTCTCGAGCCAAAATTATCTATGGTTTCACCATGTTTCTGATCATGTAAAAATTGTTGGGTTGTATGAATGTTCTAAGGTGTTGATGTTGACGAGCTAAGTAAGGTACGTGATTAAAACACGTTGAAATTATTTGAGGCTTTATTGCTAGATAGTTTATTTGATTTGTTTTAGTTGGCATCCAATATGACATATTTTTAATTTGGAAATCCCAACTTTATTGTTCACATCATAGTAGCCTAAATAAACTCTTGTTATGTGATACGAGAGCATATTACCTTTATGGCTTCTTTGTATGATGTTTCAGTGGATGAGTTGCGTCTTTATTTTCTCGAATAGCTCCTCTCGAATGGTTTTCAATTTGTGTGGTTTGGTTCGCATCTGATGCGTGTTTTGGGACTTAATTGACGTTGCTATTAACCTTGTTTTTTTATTTATTTATAAATAAATCTTCATAGATTTCAACTTTCACTCAAGATCTGACGGGTAAGAACAATTTTTCACTTCAGCCCCATTTAATTTTTTAATTATTGAAATCGATCTTTTTTTTACCAAAACCGACCCGATTTCTTGATTAGCAGCTTAATCACCTTCCTAATTAGTCGGGGTTGGCAACCCCGACTATTTAGGAGGGTGTTAAACCCTAATTAGAAACCTTAAACCCTAAAAATTAATGTCCTAAATAGTCGGGGTTGGTAACCCCGACTAATTAGGAAGGTGATTAAGCTGCTAATCACGAAATCGGATCGGTTTTGGTAAATAAAAAAAAGGGGTCGATTTCAATAATAAAAAATTAGAATGGGGCTGAAGTGAAAAATTGTTCGACGGGTAACTTTAGAAATACAACAGGTTGGTAGAGACTCTATGCATCCTAAGTTGTAGATCCTCTACAATTTCACCAACTAATCTCTTCATTGAGGGGATCTTACGAAAGATATTAATCATTTGAATTATACAAAAAGTTTTTAATTCTGGAACCCTCTAAGGCAAACCAATAGAAATTAGCCCAACTAATTAAGGGTCTGTTTGATTGAGTGTAAGTAACATGAAGTAACCTAGCTGAAGTAAAGGGAGTAGAAACTACTTTTGCGACTTCCGATAAAAAAAAATGTTTGTTTCTCTTGATATGTTACTTTCACTATTTTCTTAAATGATAATGTAGTGCCTATGTGATACGCTTACTTTCTAATCTTTTTCCATTTGTGAAAAACTCGGAAGTACCCTGAAAGCAACTAAAATCTTCATCAATTTGGGAATAAAATATGGTTCTTTATTATATGGAGAATTTTCACGCTAAAGGAGAGTGCTTCCTTCGGCATAGGAGCAACAATGGGAGCTTTAGTCTCCTTGAAGACTTTGCGGATCTTACGCATAGCTTGGGGCTAAGGGATCCGAAGGAGAGTAACTCCTCATACTTGGCTTGATCGAACTCGATGATCAGAGTTTCAACAGTCGTTCCAGCGAGCTTGATGTCGGATTGCGCCACCACTTCTTCCTCGGTGAAAAAGGTAGTCCCCAGCGGAGTCGCCATCTTTTGTTTGTGGAAAATTTGTAATAAGAAAATGAAATGATTGAATTTGATTTATTCTTTCGAACTGCTTAGAAAAAGAATGTTTACAACTCTCTCAATCTCTAACTGATTACAATATATATTTTCGGATTACAAAAGAGAAAAGAATTAATGCGAATTCTCTCCTTTGTTTAAGTCTGGGTTTTTCACAGTGGCGATGGAGTGCCTCCCTCGAATGCTCGTGTCGAGTTTGCTCTCCGTTGACGATCCGAACAACTCTTTAGAACATTTAACTTGTGTGACAAGTTTGAAGAGAACTCTCGACGAGTTGAAAACTCAGAGCGAGTTTAAACTCTTGAAAAAGAGTTGCTTTGAACCGAAAATCGGTTAATAAGCCAAGGATGAAAGCTCCAAGAACTCTCTGTTGCCGAGGATAGGGGTGAGCACGGTTCGGTTCGGGTCGGTTTTTACCAAAATTTGAACAACCGAACCGAACCACCTATAATTCAAAACCGAACCGAACCGTGGCAAATTGGTTCGGTGCGGTTCGGTTCGGTTTGTTTGGTTCTAACTTTCATCAAGTATAACAATCAAATGCACAAATATTGCTTGTCCCAAGAGATAATTTGTATATATTTGTTTTCATATGCGCCCAAATGCAAATCATTTGAGCCACGGCTAAGATACTTAAGCGTCGTGCACACTTGAATCAACAACTAACCCAATGGACAACATACACAGAAGTGCTAAATTGAGTGATTAAATGGGGAAAATCCAACTCAAAGGGCACTAACATACTCCAACAAGAAGCGCCCATTCCACCTACTTCATGTTCGATTCAAAGACAACAACAGAGAAAATTGAAGAAAAATTAATACTACGTACCTTGAGAGTAAGGGCCGGGGTCTTGGAAGAAGAGAGAGAGCGAGAGAGAGGGATTGAGGCCGAGCGAAATGGGAAATTGGGAATGAGTAGCGGCGGCTGAGATTTGGGAATGAGAGGAAATGAAGTTAGGGTTGAGGGTTTGGGATGGGTCGGGTAAACGCGAACGGGTTTGAAAGTTTTGAGAATATATTCGGTCGGTTCGGGTCGGGTCGGTTTGAAAAGTTGTCAACCCGACCTGAACCGCCTTACTCTTAAAACCGCTTTTTTCGGGTCGGTTCGGGTCGGTTCGGTCGGTTTTTTCGGTTTGAACCGAACCATGCTCAGCCCTAGCCGAGGATGCTCCAAGATGATCTGCTCAAGAGATTGCCGATCTCTCATTCTGCGATCTTTTTGATGCAAAAAGCCGATCGCCCCCTTTATGATTTTATGTCAGAAGCCGCTCAATGGTCTCCGATCTTGATCTGCCCAAAAAAAGATCATCCTTAACTCTTCTGAATTTTGAGGTATTTATAGGGGATTAAGGGGTGTAACCGCCCCCTTAATTCGCTCCTAAGTGGGGTTGTAATCCCCTCAAATCATGGGAAACAGTTTTAAAACCGTTCAGCTCGTGTTTGAATAAGTCAAACGCCAAAAATAGCATTCTAGACCTAAACTCTGTGTTTTAGAACTGAAACGTAAAGTTAGGCATATTTTGGCGGCTGAGAACGCACAGGTCGCTCTGCATTTTGAGTCTGAGACGCAAGAATGAACTCTGTGTTTGGATCTGGAACGCAGAGTTAGGTTTTGCGTTTTGGGCTGAAAACGTAACAATGAAGTCCGCGTTTGGATGTTGCAACGCAGGGAGGACCTCTGCATTTTGATGTTGAAACGCAGGTCTGACCTCTGCGTTTTGATGTGAAGAGACTATCAATTTGTGGTATCTTTTGCTAGAGCGTTGCAAAGATCATCATCTTGTAATCTTCTTCTTGGCTCCTTGAAAATATGAGAGCCGTCAGATTGTAACTCCCGGTGTTGATTGTGAATGTTGTTGATTAGAGTTTTCATCAGTTGTTGCGAATGTCATCATATTGTAGCCTTCATCGATCTACGTAAAAGTCTTCAAATTATAACCTTCTGAAAGTCGTCAGATTGTAACTTTCAGCATCGGTGTTTGATGAGGGATCAGCTATCTGCAGTGATTTTTAGACAACCTACATTTCTATATCATCTATTATGAAACCATGACTGGTATCGACATGCACATCCAGTACTTCATCTTCAATACAGCCTTCCCCGTGATAGGACCAATATTTATATAATTACAAACTCTATTTGACAATAGATAGTATACTAATAAATTTTAAACTATTTAAAACGGTATACATACATACATACCTCATCCTTAAACATGATGTATATGTACTTGTCAGTATCTTTTTTGTTAGGGTTAATTCCACATAATCATCCTGAACTTTGAGTGCTACATATCACATACACCCCCCCCCAACCCCAACCCCAACCCCAACCCCAACTCCAACCCAACTCTCCAACTATGTAGGTGTCTCACAATACCTCAAGTTAAAAAATGAATTTGGAGTATGCTTAATTGCATTTGTGGACTTCTGGATGGATATTTGAATTTAATGATTACATGTTGGAATTCTTACGAAGGTCTTCTTGGGTGAAATCTTACGATAAGCATCACATTTAACTGTAGCAGGAGCACTTACATACAATGTAGCATTTAAGTTGGGCTAATTGAGTTAGTTTGAAACTTATTAAGGTATGGAGACTAATTAGCACACTCTAGCGGCTGTCATAGGAATGTTTCTATCACATTAAGAATATAGTAGTGCTTACATCCAACTTTATATAATTCGTATATTTTTATTTCTTGAAAATTTTGACAGCACCTACCCGTTGATCTCCATGTACACTGTGCGGATGTTCTTATGCCTATTGACAATAGACCAAAACGCAGAACAACATACGCTTATTGTACACTGAGAACAACGAGTACGTGCTGCCAAAATTTTTAAGAAATAAAAACATACAAAGTATACAAAGTTAGATGTAAGCACTACTATATTCCTAACCCATCCGAAAAGGATAGATCCAATAATTACAAATTTCTATACCAATTCTTTCCTATTATAATATAAAGTGAACGATCATTTTTGGGTAGAAAACTTTATCTCCTACCCAAATTTGACTCGTTTATCTTATATTATAACCTCAAAGAATTGAATGTAATTATTGGACAGGAGTTTAGGAATAACGTTATATTTTTTTCACCTAAATTGGATATATAACATATTATTATACAATATTGCGTTATATATTACACTATTTTTTGAAAATATTTTCTTTCATAAATCACACATTTTCAAATCACAAACCTATATAAGCACATTAGTATAATTAAATTTAGGGTCATATTTATGGTTAGAAATGATTAATACATTTATTTAAATTATGGTAAAATCAAGGTTAGTATTAAAAGTTTCGTTTAATTAGGGCAAAAATGTATTTAATTTAGGGTTTATAATTGATTATAAGTGTTGATGAAATAGGGAAATAATTATGGATT